GTGTGTGTGTGTGTGTGTGTGTGAAGAGCTGGGGGAGGGAGGAGGAGGGCAAGCAGCGTAATTAATAAGAAATACAGTGCAGGAAATGGAAAGCGGGAAGAAGTTTGCGGTTCTGCTGTGCGCGGAGGACCCGGAGTACGTGAAGAAGAAATACGGGGGGTATTTTGGGGTTTTCGTGAGAATGCTGGCGGAGGAAGGGGAGGCCTGGGCGGTGTTCCACGTGGCCAGAGGAGAGTTCCCGGCCGACGAAGACGCCGGGAAGTTCGACGGCTACGTCATCACCGGCAGCTGCCACGACGCCCACGCAAACGACGCCTGGATCTGCCGCCTCCTCCATCTCCTCGCCAAGCTGGACGCCATGAAAAAGAAGGTTCTGGGCATTTGCTTCGGTCATCAGGTCCGTTACATTAGAGACCGTAAAAATTTGAATGAGAAAAAAATATATGAAAAGAGAGTAATAATCTTCATTACTTATTTCTTGAAATAATAGTTGATTTACTACTTTAATCAGATTCTCGGAAGAGCATTAGGGGGAAAGATCGAACGGGCAACCGCCGGATGGGACATCGGTGTGACCACTGTTCATATTTCATATCCCTTCTCCTCCAATCTCTTCTCCTCTTTGAAATTGCCAGAACTCCTTCCTGTTATCGAGTGCCATCGTGATGAGGTGACAATTCAATTATATTTAATTTACACACAATATATAAATATGATCTTAGACAAGAGCGGTCTAATATTTGAATGATAGCATTATTCCACTTTTCAAAGACCACACTAAACCAAGAGTGATTTGAATTTAACAGATAAGAGAACTTCCAGTGAAGGCCGAGATAATGGGATGGTCGAACAAGACGGGAATAGAAATGTTCAGATATGGAGATCACGTAATGGGGATACAAGGCCACCCCGAGTACACCTATGACATCATCCTCCACCTCATCGATCGCCTTCTCCAACGCAATCTCATCACGGACGATATCGCCATTGCTGCAAAGATGAAGCTCACTGAAGAAGCCGCCGCCTTTGATGAGCAAAACAGGGAGGCCTGGAAGAAGCTGTGCACCAGCTTCCTCAAAGGTCGATTATTGTGATAATATAAGATTGAGTACCGCCAAATGGAATTTGTTTGGGAATAGCGCTTGTGGCTAGCGTTTATTTGAAGGTGTAGATAAACTTTGAAAATGTTGAAGGTAAAAGATGTTGCTTGGTAGCATTTTCAAAGTCTTAAAGCTAAAACAGAACCATAACATAGTTGTGGTATATACATGATTGCAAGTGTTAGGGAGATACTGGCCGTGTTTGAAAAACAGCATTTCGGATAGCTTTTGACATTTTTGACTGACTTTGGCTTTTTTGACCGGGCGAACCGCCAAAATCATTGTTTGGCTAATGGCTTTTTCACTTGGCATTTTGATCCGAAAAGCCAAAATCTGAAATGCCAAGGGGAGTAGCATTTGGACTTGGCGATTAGGAAAAATAATTTTTTTAAAATCATTTTTGTTGAAAGATATTTTATAATATATGTAAAAAATAAAAATAAAAATAAAAGTAAAAAAAATTAAATGCTAAAAAATAAAATTTAAAATTTAAAATTTCAAAAAATGAAATGAGAAAAATAAAAAGTAAAAATCATTAAATAAATTTATATTTATAATTTATTATGAATTAAGTGAAACTAAAATTTAATACTCCATATAGTAAAGATTTAATTTTTACATGTAAAAAAAATGAAAAATAAATATCGTGTGTGTGTGTGTGTGTATATATATATATATATAGGGTTTAGAAAAAAAATAGGAAAAACTATTTTCAAACAGTTAATTTTACCAAACGTTTTTAACGATTAACCAATTCATTCTGCCAGTGAAACCAGCTAAACTAAACAGCCGTTCACAACAGCTGGCACGAACTGCCAACTGCCAACAGCTGACAGTCAATATCCAAACAAGGCCACTATCTCAATTATTATTGTTGTTATTTTTTTAAATATGTATTCATTCCCGTTGTTGATTGATGAAATCCCAGTTGTAAATATAAGAAGTCATGAATTTATGATGGTTGTCCATCATTCTCTCACCTAGAGTATGATGTTTCAGTTGTATGTTAGGGTATAAACTTCTTCGTAGTTCTTAGTCACAAATTTAAATTATTGATTATGTTTGGTATTGTTATTGTTGAATGTTGATCATGTTAACTTATACGGAGTATCTTTTTACTTGAGTAAGAAATGAGACTTGGTGCTTCAGTTTGGTATGAAAGTAGAAATGTTCTGTGGAATAGAGAGAATATAATAAGTAAAAAAAAACATAATGATCTTTTGTTCGACCCGAGTTTCTCCCAAAGAACTATGCTACCAAATTTGAACCATAAACCACTCTCTTCTCCTCTTTCTTTCCTTCAATCCAATTACAGTTTTACATTTCCCTCACTGACTTAATTTAATAAATGAAATATAAAAATAAAAACTGTATAATGATGAGAGGAGGATTTGTATGTCTACACATGACGCATAGCGTCCTTCAAGGATCTTTATGTCTACACATGATCTAATGCACACTTAATTTGTACTTGGTATAAAACCCTTTTACCAAAACAAGCATTTGTTTATTTATTTTACTACGTATTTTATTTTATGAAAAAAATTCAAAGATAAAATTGTTTATTGTATGTGTACACCAATATTTTGTTACTTCAGAATATTAGGTAAGAACAAAATTAATCAACACCAACCAGTTGAATCTTACAAAAGTATGCTCTAGGGAGAATGTGCAAACGCAGACTTTATCCTTACTCGAAAATAGAGATCCCCAGCTCAGCATCAAAAGTTGCATTGATGGACTCAGTTAGACCTGGCAAAACAGAACCGGAACCGATTACCCGAACCGAAATATCCGAAACCGAAACCGGAATGATCCGAAAAATGAAGATCCGATCTATAACCGAAAACCCGAAATGATCCGAACCGAACCAAAACCGAACTAAATAATTCATATCCGATTTAAATCTGAAACCGATTAGATCCGAAACCAATAATATCCGAATCGATTAAACCCGAAACCGATTAGATCCGGACCCGATAATACCCGAAACCGATAAAATCCGAAACCGATTAGATCTGAAAACGATAATATCCGAACTCGATTAGAACTAAAATCGATAAATTCAGAACTATGTTTATCTTTCAATAAGCATATTATATTTTTAAATTTTTACTTTTATTTTACCATTTGAACTAGTTACATTACTTGCTCATTCCCTCATAAAATGGATTATCTTCTTGAAAAAAAGTACAAATTTTTATGCCTTAAATTTATTATATGTAGAAATTAAAGATAAGTTATACATATAAATGATAACGCACAAACAAATAAAATTTCCGTAATTTTTAAATAGTGAAGTGTGATATTCTTTTTGGGACGAAAGGAATATATATATG